TTGGTGGTGTTGAAATAAAATGAATCTGGAGTCAGAACTGGGGCTGAAATCAGCAGCCAACTGGAAGTTGAAAGATGGACAGAAAGAGTTATGGCTGCTAAACTCACCTCCCCACCTGAGAAGAGAAAGAGTGTTCTCAGGGATTAACCCGTGAGCTTCCATCCCGGTGACGATGAAGGATGCCTGAGCAGAGTGGGAACTTTTAAAAGAAACTACTTTCAGGGCCTCCCCTTGTGGCGCAGTGATTGAGCGCTGGGCTGCAAAGCTGCCCGCAGCCTCTGCAGCACCGGTTCGATCCCCGGTCGCCGGGCGAGGGTCCCACATGGCACGCTGACCTCTCCTGCCGCCCGCTGCTCCCCTCAGCAGTGTACTTCGTCAGTCTGCCTGCTCTGCTCCCCGCTCTGGCTCTGGTGAATTCTCTCACCCTCCTGCACTTCTGACTGTACCCAGTGCTTGTATAAATAAATCTTTAAAAAAAAAAGAAACTACTTTATTGCCATCATTAGTGTACAGCCTGATTTAAAGAGAGACGAGTCTCTAATCCTTCGTATCTCATGATTACTGTGAAACATCAATGTGCAAGTCATGGGGGGGATTAGGAAGATGCAAAGCCTCCATAGGGTCTAGGGATGGATGAGTTGAGATTTTTCTGAATCACCAGGGAACAAGGATAAACTGCTTTCATGGAGTGGACTCAGGCATGATCTGAGACATGGGGTCTGCCCCAGGAAGGAAGGTTCAGGTGGTGGACGGAGAGTGTCTGTGGCGGCTGGAATGGTCACCCAGAGACAGACACAGGTGCCAGGAGGGGGCTAGGGGCTCGAAGGCAGGAGCCTCTGAACCTCTCCTCTAGCTCAGTCTCACCATGTCACATGTCCCTTACGTGGCCACGGGGCTCTGAGTGCGCCTGCCCCGTACTGCCCACATGACAGCAGGCTCCGCTCTTGGGGATGAGTTAGGTTGGGGGTAGACTGGTGGCAAGTTGAGGAAGGCAAGGAAAAAACATCTTCTTGGGCTAAAAATCCAGAAGCGGGAGACTGGGTCATATAAGTCAGAAGGGAAAAGACAAAGATCGTACGATTTTACTCACATGTGAAATATCAAGAAAGAAAGCAACAGACAAAACAAAAACAAACACTTAGATGCAGAGAAGAGACTGGTGCTCGCCAAGGGGGAGGGGTGGGTCCGGGAGAGGCAAGTGAGGGAGCTAAGTTGCGTGATGGTGGATGGAAACCAGACTCTGGTGGTGCTCAGGATGGAGATTATTAAAATTATAGTGCTATACTCCTGAGACCTATATAACATTATAAAGATTTATTTATGCATACAAGAGCTGGGGTGCAGGCCAGAGGTGTGGGGAGGTGAGAGGATTCACCAGAGACTGAGTGGGGAACAGAACAGGCAGATCTACTGAAACCCATTGCTGAGGGAGCAGTGGGGAGATAGAAGAGGTCTGCTGTGCCATGTGGGTAGCTCCCTGGCCGGCTGGGGATTGAACTCTTGCTGCAGTGGCTTCTGGTAGCTTCATAGTGCGGTGCTTAACCCCGTGCACCACCAGGGAGGCCCCTATATAATGTCATAAACCAACTTTAGTTCAATAAAACTTTATTGATACAGGAGAGTGCTTGACTGCATAAATTCATGCTGGTTAGCAAGGATGGGGGCCTGCATGATTGTATCTGGCTGTTTTGCTTGTTTATTTATTTTCAAGAAGAATATTTAAAGGAAGAGCAGAAAGAGGAGTCACACTTTATTTATGATATCCTCACAATGAAGGTGGGAGAGGTAAATGAAACATGTAGTCATTTCCTAGTTGAATGAAGCAAAACCGACTCCGGGACACCCTCTCAGCATCGTCCGTCTCAGCCCCTGTTCCGCTGTTTATTCCCTT